CTTTCGGCAGTCTACAATTTAGAGCACTGTACTGGCCCGGACCAGCCCGAAAGCCCGGGCCCGGCCCGTCCCGTGGGCCGGGTTGGGCAGGCTAGGGCATTGTTGGTGCGGGCCCGGGCCGGGCCCGCACCTATGAGATTCGGGCTCGGGTCGAGCCCGGGCCCGTGTCAGGCCCGTCTTAGGTGCAAGTCTCATATACAGGGTGTGTCAAGAAATGGGTCCAGTATTTTTGAAAAACTACATGAAGGAGGCACCTGCATTCTACGTGTGGTGTTCACTATGGCAGGAGGCATCTTTATATGTGTACAAATAATAATTATGGCAGTGATTATAAAATTGAACACTTCAAAAACTTTAAAACAATTAACATCTTATAAAGGGTGTTTTTGAAGTTGGTGCTATATGCGCTGTTTGGTGCGTTGGTTTTGGTTTACCCAGCTAAATTAGCCAGATTTCATTGCTCAGCGGGGATTACCACTTGCCGCCATTCCGAAGTTTCGAAATGGCTACAGAATATTCATAAGAACAACTTTAATTTGACCATTTGACTCGACCAGCGATCTCTACAGGTTGAAAGGTAATTGTTTTCATTTCTACAATTACTGCCGTCATTATTGTTTTCACACATCTGAATATGCATTCTGCCAAAGTAAAGGAAATACGGCCGCTAGAACGCCGATGCTTCCTTTTTGTAGTTTTCAAATTATATCGGACGCATTTCTTGAAACACCCTGTATATCAATATAATGGCACGTCTACGATGCTTGGTTTTCTTGTTTTGTGGGGTTTAACATCCCGAAGAGGCCCAGGTTACGTAAGCTGTCGTAGCTGAGGGCTTCGGCTAATTTAGATCAGCTGGAGGGTATTATCATGCACTCAAATCGGAAAATAGATGACGTCTGGCATTTGGCTCCATTGGTATGGTACACGCTTTTTCAAGAAACACGTAATGTTTTCGCTAATATTTGGATACCGTAAGGAAAGATTTGCCAGGCGGTTATGCTGCAACAGCAACGGTACAGTGCTAATGTTATTATAGTGTACATATTATGTGCGCGCCGGTAACTAGGGAAACATTTTGACTATGCAGATACACAAGCATGCTCGCCAAGCCTTTCTCCGCCTGCGTACTACGCGATTCATGAGTCAGAAAAACTCAGGAGCTGTTGTTGGTGAACTTTAACTGTGAGATGCGAAGTTACTCCTATGATGGTCGTGCCAATTGATAGAAATCCTCCCAATGTTTTAGTGCTAGCAAGGCAGTTGCAAATAGTTAGCACTTAGCACTTGGCTAGTTACCTAAAAACGTTAGGCGTTTAACTGGAATGTTCATCATATAGAACAAGTTTTTTTGCTTATTTTTACGGACACCGTGTTTTGCGTATTTCGACAGTAATTAATGAGTGGTCCTATATGCGCAAGTGTTTTTATGGCACTCAAAAACGTGCAAGCAGTCCCGCGGCGAAAGCAAGAGTTCTATATGAGGAAGTTCATGATTACAATTTTTTTTTGCTGCTGTACACCTTGAAACAGGGGGGTGGGGGTGTATAGGCACGGGTGCATTGGCACCTGTTACCGGATAAATGTGCGACGGCTCCTGCGGCACCCGGAGTTCCGGAATTTCGCATCCCTTCAGACATCTTCCCCCAATTTCTACCGTTTTTTTTTGCATATTACCGGATAAGTAAGACGCATCAAAACTGGAAACATGAGTTCCTACTCCTGTAAAAAAATTTATGTATATAGGCTGCACGTGCTTACTTTATCTTTCCTTGGTGTCTGCAGAAGTCTATAACCTGCTTCCGTCGCACAGTTTCGCAAGCTGCACAGTTGTAAGAAAACTATGCGCGCCATCATAACAAACGTGAATTGAGACATATACGGCGTGTTGTACTCGCCTTTGTTCATATGTAGTTTTCTCATTGGTTCGGCTATTTTGGGTTCAACGTTTGCCGATTATGTCCATATGTCAGTTGTAAAGTAAATCTGCTTTTATAGATCGAAACTCTCACACTAAGTGTGTGTGTGTGTGTGTCTGTTTTATACAAATGCGCAATAAAAAAAGTTGATTTTATTTGTGGCGAACGAGTTTAGTCTTACTGAGAAATCAGTCAGTTTAACTTTCGCCTCCTCAGAAAACACGAACAAAATTTGGAAAAAAAAGATTAACAAAATTTTATGGCCACATTGGCCAAATAGCCTGTGGACGTATAAATAGGCACGAGCGCATTGCGCATGCATGCGAAGTGGGAAAGTAGGGTTTCCGCGGCAATGCTCCTGCTCTAAATTTTTTGTCCTTTCCCTCTGTTTAGGGACCTCACCAGTGACGTCATGAAAAAAAATTTCTGTTCATGGTTTATTTCTATTAGGCTGTCCGGGAACCGCCAGGGGTAAAAGTGGCTCTGACGCTGCCGAGGGCAAATACATGGGAGGTGTAGGTAGTTTCCACCCCCTGGTAGTCCTCTCAGAAGTATTTAAAGCGTGTTTTTTTTTAATTGCATGGCGTAATAAATGACGTTTGCAAGAAACGTGTTCCATTTACTCGACAAACGTGGCTTGCATGCGAATATATGTTGACCCAAACTATAAATGTCTCCTTGAACGCGACATCACTCCTTGAAGGAGTGATATCACTCATTGAAGTGCGTCATAGTCATCCAGTTGACTGTTGCCAGATGCGACAACTCTGCGACTACTAGGAGAGTATTAGCCATATTCAATGGTAATCATCAATTGGCTTCAGTATCTGACCTTATTGCCTCACTAGCGTTAGACACAGTGGCATAGTTTGACACAAAGGATTTTATAAACCGTCAGAAAGGGGTATACTAACAGTAAAGCTAGTTGTGGCGTGGCTGTTGCACACGAGTCTATAACGGACATGTAGCCGTCAGCGTTTTTCGAAACGGTACCACGATCGTGGAGCTACACGCGTTTGATGATAAAAAAGACGCCCTCGCCTGGTTCATTCTTTTCTCCGCTATGCTCTGTTCGTCGGCTCGTCCCTCCTCATGTACGAACGTTCCTTCTCACTCTTCGAGGAGGAAAAACAGTAAGCACGCGTACCTGCGAGCGAACAAACAGGACTTGCAGACGATGAGCGGACGACATGTGGACGTCACGGCAAGTGTGGCAGCTTGGGCTGGTTGGTATGGCATGACGATAGTTATAGGGCGAGAACAAAACGACGACACAGAGACAAGAAGGACACGAAGGACACGAGCGCTGCCTTCGTGTCCTTCTTGTCTCTGTGCCGTCGTTTTAATCTCGCGCTATAACTATCGTCGTGTCACGGCAAACGTTGAAGCCACGGGAACTGCCAAAAAGCCCGCAGACGAAAAGCGATTGTTGCACGTTATTTTTCGAGCACCTGTGGCTCGCAGCACCGCCTTGTTGGCCTTTGTCGATTGTGGCAGCATTCTAAGATCGATGTTCATTTTCTTGAAATGTCTAAAAGTGATGGATGTAGTTTAGGGGTTCTTTAGGCCTTTCATTTTCTTTCATCGTGAAGAGTGCGCTCGTAATTACACACAGAGAGAGGTGACCTGGTTGAAAGTAGCTATGCCGCGTGCGGCTCTTGAAATGTGATCCGTCTCTCGAGGAGCGATTCGGGAACGTGCTAGTGTTTCCACATAATTTATTACACTATAAAGCTTGGCACTCGGCACCTGCCTGCACCCCGTGGCAAGAAGCGCATCTGTTTCCAACGCCGCTGTTGGTTAATGCCAGCTATCCGCCAGATCGGAGCAGTTTGCTATGTGACGAAATATATGCTGATGGGCAGCTCTCTGAAAATCGTCTTCACATGCATTCACTCTAGTGTGAAGAGCGGTATGGAGAGAAGACGCTTGATAAATTTACTACTTTGCGATTTGCTTGCGAACTCTTCTTGTGGATCACGTCTGAAAGATTTAGCTGAACAGTTCAAGGAAGTGCCTGGTGTCCACTCTGTGTGTTTCTTTTTTCTTTTCACTGAACATCAAGAGAATGTTAGGGCTTCTTTAACGAGCTGACATACATATTACAGGACAGGGCTTCGCTAGGTAGTGAACCAGTGACGATGGTGCAAGATAATGACTACTTAAGACAGGTAGTAACCGCGGAGTCAAACCATGAGATTAAATACCTGGAGAAATGAAAAAGCCTGGAGCTCATTAGGCAGGAATGTACCTCCAATGAATGGTATTTCTGCCACTGTCGCTCACGAGCAGTGTCTACAGCAGCTGCATTTTAACGGTACTTAGCTATGGGACAGAAACCTGGAGACTTACAAAGAAGGTTAAGCTTAAATTCAGGACAGTAGGGCTGAGCAATGGAAAGGAAAATGATAGGTGTAACTTAAGCGACACGTAGAGAGCAAGATTGGTCAGGGAACAAAGAGGTACTAAGGATCCTTTACTCGAAACGTGGAAGAAATTAAGAATGGTGGTGCATGCAGCACGTAGCCAATATAACAGTTGCTGAGTAAGAGAGTCGACTGCAAGCGTATGTGAACGCTGGAAGGGGAGGCAGAAAGTCAAGTGGGGATACCTGAAGGTTTATAAGTTAGGGGATTTAACGTGGCCGCAGCAAGCGCCGGGCCGGGTCAATACGCGTAACACGGCAGATGCTTTTGCTCGACCCTGAGTGTAGTCAGGCTGTTAATGATGATCATATATAATACGCAGGACTCTAGCAACCATGCCTACACCGAAAATTATACCACCGTGGCCTGTATACGACGCACAGCTTTCATTTTCACAGCCAAGCAGCGTAACAGCGACACCCTCGCGGCGGCTAGTTTTCAGAAGTTTTGAATTGCTGACTTGCTAGTTATTGTAAAAAAAAACTAGATGTAACGCGCTTGCTTCAGTGCTTCTTTTATATTTAAAAACCTGCTCAATCATAAAACAATGCCTCTGACGTTATTCAATAGAGAAGCAAGGATATCACTTTGGTGTCTGAAAAATGACTGAGATCCATTTGCGTGAGGTATTGTGTTGGCTCACAAAAAAGCTCACCTTAAATGCATCTGGGACGTCGTCCTTGTAGTGATCCCTTGGCTTCGCCCAAGCCATGCATAAAGCTACTGAAAAAAGGGATATATATAACGGAATGCCTTTAGCAATAAATGTACGAGGTTCCATTGTCTATGCGGTAAGTGTATGCGCGGAGCAGGGCACTAAGAGTTGTTGTTTTCCGACCACATTGTGCCATCCTATATATGCTGAATTCTGCTACTGTCACTGTCTACACAGTCAAGCAATGGAATTCCTAATTGAAATACGCTGGGTCACTCTCGTTCAACTGCCGATTGACGAGTACGCTCAATTTTGCACTATGATTCGTATTTTTTCCTTTTACATGTCACTGCCTGTAGCCTTGAGGTTGTTACCCGCTACGAGCAGTCTAACTTGACAAATACAAACTCAGTGGCACCGTACGGATCACTGATGCGGACTCAGGCTATTAGTTATTATAAAAAATTCTCATTACCGGATAAGGTGCGACTTGGATGGGAACCTTTAAAAACCCGAGCGCACGGTAGCTTACAATTCTGTGTGTCCGACAAAAGAAAAAATATGTAAACTGTCACTTTGGATGATGGGTAGAGTCACTGTCCTCTTATTTATTTAGCTAATAATTATGACAACACAAGGCAATGTAGGGGCGCATATGCTTTGCAATTATTTTCTTCTCGCTCGTATAATATAGTACTGAAAAACTTCTTTTTTTTTCACACGATAGCGTTGAAGAGCTCACTTCGCAGAAATTCCGACGTCAGCGTCGTTGGTTGTGAGCGAAAAATAATTATCTCATGCATGACAAGAAAATTGAGAACGATGCAAATAAAATAAATGATAAAAAAGGACAGCACATCTACGGGTTGAATGATGGAGAGTGGGGCGAAGCTGGGTACGGACGCCGCTGCCACGGCACTTCGGCCTCCCGTTTTCCTACTGCAGGTTGCCTAACAGCGCCGCCGCTCAGCTTCACGGCACGCTTCTGCCTCGCGCGCCTGCACATCGGGGTCCTTTCAAGCGCAAGCCGCCGCCACCCTGCGCGCACGCCGCTCAGCATCCTTGTCCGTTCTCCGTAACCGAACCTCTGAATGCATGCGTGTGCCAAAACGGCGCTTCTATTGTACTATAAGCGCACTTTGGCGTACAGCGCCGCCGAAGACCACATGATCGTAGTCGCATGATTGCCTCTCTCTCATTCTGTACGTGTGACGTCAATCCTTCTTTCCAATAAGTGACGCCCTCTAGTGTCGTACCATTTGCATTTGTCAGCGTATAGTACAGATACCGCCCTCTATGGCCGGTTCAAGAATTGACGACGGGCAGTTACCCACAACGGGGACGCACAAGCCATGCCATAAGAAGCTTCACCTCTAAAAAATGCTGGGTCAGAGTAAGGACCGAGCCATGCTTGTTCGGTTTCAAGTGGGGATTGAACCCGGGCCATTTGTGAGGCAAACGGATGTTCCACCACACAGCCACGCGTCTGCTTGATGGTAGAATTCACTTGATGATAATGAATCCAGGCGACCGAACGAGCGTAGCTTGGGTCAGAGTGTGAATCGAACCCACGCCGTTTGCATGGCAAGTGGATGTTCCTCTACATGGCCACGCGTCTTTTTTTTTTCTTTATGGTCTGTTCCCAGACACTATGTATGCATGAACAATAACGTTAGGGTCACAATAACAAATAGTGGAAGTGCTAGTGGACAGACACTAATTTTAAAATTTCTTGAGAGCTGTCAAGGGTTCCACCTTCGACAACCACTCAGGTACAGACTCCTGTGCTTTCTGAAGCTCAACAAACTTCGACATGCACTCTCTAAAGTACATTTTTGCGGCTTTTGAAAGACGCAGCCACGCGTATTGCTTGTAAATACAATGAACAGAACTGCCTCTGCTTGGAAACGCAGTGAAAGCAGCTTTCATTCTTTAAGTACACACTCGTCCTGTATACATTCTCCACAATGCAACATGAAACACGGCAGTAATATTGCGTGGTACGAGCGCCCATTGCCAGCGGCCATCAGAAAATGCGATTATCATAATGGCTTCGAGGTTTAAAGCCACTCACCCGCTACAAAACAAACGCAGGCTACGGCGCCTATTTCTTGAAGCCATGTAGTGGGCGCATAGCCTTCTATTCATTTATTTATTTCGTTTGAGTACATACAGAACATGAAGACAGGGAAAACAGGGAGGGAACAGGCAGACAACTGCCACCTATAGCCAATTAGAAAATAATTAATGCACTAGGTGTTTGAAGAGCGCATTAGAAACAGGATCACGATAGCGATCGCGTTCAACTCCCAAACGCGAAGCTTGAAGATCCCCTAACTTTCTTTTCCTAAAATATGCTTGCACGTTGGCAATTTCTCGTCGACTTGGACTGATTTGGTACGAATTGACGTTTGATTTGAGTAAAATAGCTTGTCCCTAAGCTTCCCCTTTAAAGGTGAACACGCACGCACGCATGCACGCACGCACACACACACACACACACGCACGCGCACGCACGCTCAAAATTGCTAGCTTACCGTTGCTTCTCCGTAGAAATCTAACCCATGGTCCCTTTGGCACAAGGAGAGTCAAACATCATCCAGCGTTTTTATTTATTCTTGCGACTGACTTTGATTTTCACTGATTGCGATGGCTGCTTTTTCACTGGCAACCACAGACACCACCTCTCAGACCACTGCTGACACCGACACCGGAGTATCTGCGAAACGGACTCTTGAAGGCTACCACTTTAATATGTTCAGATGATTGCAAGAAAAAAAAAAGAGAAAGAGAAATGAAGATGCGACAAAATTTATTCGGCTCTTACATCCTGGATTATCTGGTCATTTTGGGTTATTCAAAATTGAAATCTCATAGTTGTTTTCAACGTCAATTCGGCAATGACTTCAAGGAAATAACCACAAATATCTCGAGAAATAGGTGAAAGAATGTGAATGAACCAGGCTTACATAGTCCTGCGAACATGTGCTACAAAATTGGGCACCAATTTTTAAAGTAATCAATAGGAGTAAACTTCCAAAATGGTTGAACCCAACATGCACTTTATAGTAAATGTTTTCAATTGACACAGGTAATGGGCTGCTAAACGTATAGGTAATTTCAAAATTTTTATCAAGGGTAAGCTGAAAAACTCAAAAACTACCTGAGAGCATATAAGAATACTTTGACACAATCTGAATACGACTAGTTGCGTGCAAAGTCTGAAATGTGAACCCAAATAGCACATTTCAGCGAGAAACAAGGACAGTGGGCGCAGGGTATAAACAAAAAAGAATATATATATATATATATATATATATATATATATATATATATATATATATATATATATATATATATATATATATACACTAGCCCAAAGATAAGAATAAGAACAGAATAACTGATTTTTTTGTAAGTTATACCTGACAGAAATCTTGAATGAATTAGTTTCTACTGAAGGAGCAATAAATGATATATATGAAAGAAATTTTTTCAGTAGTCTTTATTGGTTAACTGAGAACCTGTTGGAATTGAGGTTACTGAGTAAATCTCTTCGACTGCATATTGAAATCTTGCACGGCTTCGCACACTTTCCCGTTGCTATGCCCTAGGGCATGCGCACCTAGGGATAGTAAATTTGACGATGTCAAAGCTAATCCAAGGATTCGTAACAGAATTTCAAGAGATACCTTTCCTAATTATGAAAACTTTCTATAAAAGAGTAAAAAGTGTTCCACAATTTCCTATTCTCGAGAAAAAAAAACAGAGCGGGGAGGGAGTCAAGCCTGCTCTGAGCAAATAAAAACTTAATGGAGGAATACGACAACGTAATCGTGTGTTTAAAACTTCCAGGTGTTCATTATGACACGAGAAAATTCTCCAGGGTGTCATTAGATGGTTGAAGTCCGGAGAATTTTTTAAAGATGGTGTAGAGAATTCTCGCTTCATCATTTGCCTTCGAAATCTAGACGCCACTATAAAGGCTGTTGTAGGGGTAATATTGATAGCTAATCCGTCTAACGCTGCTTTTGCTAGTGCATCAGCTGTTTCATTTAGAGTTATGCCTCTATACCCCGGCCCCCATACAAATCGCACCTGAGTTAGGTGGTTCGGTACTAAGGAGTTGAATTTGCTTAATGCTTACGAATTACCGGATGCCATGAGCGCACTGCAGACCGACAAGTAGTCCATTATTATTACGGCAGAATTTACTGATGTTGGCAGTTTTTGAAGGGCCAGTACTACAGCTAAATTTTCTGCAATAAAGATAGGTGTGAAATCTGGAATTCGAAGAGAAAAGGACCAGTCTAGAGCAGGGCAGAATATGCCGATGCCACTTTTTTCATCTTTCTGGGAGGCGTTCGTCGCAATGATGATCAGTGCTTGCATTCCTGGCAGGTGGTCCTGTAAAGTAGCTCTTAATATACTATTCGGTAGCTGTTTAGCACTACTAGAGAAAATGTCATCGAAGTATGCTTGGATAGAGCTTGGCTAGCTACAAAGTGGAAGAACCTCCTTAATTTGCGCGGAAAGTGGCTCGAGAAGAGACCGTACAAGCTTTACTCGAGGTGCTTGAAATCTAAGTCATTGACATTAAAAAAAAACAGGTGGCGCAATAAAAACTGTTTCTTTCCGCCTTAAATGAGATTCTTGAGAAGGCTTCTTGAGATGCTGAACGAAACTGGTAACACCATCCTCGTTATGCCACCGTATGCGAAGCAGCAAAAGTGCTGAAGTATGGCCTTCTCGATTCATTCCGACAACGGCAAGGCGTGAGTTAATCGGGTCACTGTTGAAGACACGAAATGCGTTTGTTCACGCGGGGCTCGGCTGTTAGATACTACTGCAGACATCATAAACCAGCGGCAGAACATTCAGCTTCGCTATGCATAGTTCAGCCATGGTGAAATTATATCACTCACGAAGCTTGGAATGAAAAGTATCGACAACTTATTGCGGCAGGCATCAACGCCCGCCGACGATTGGAGTGTTATTATAGGGAAGAGGGGTCAAATAAGGAAAACCAAAAACTCCATAGAATTTTCAGAAATATTAATTATTTTACATATGCCAAAGTTAAATATAAGTTTACTTCATGGTTTATCTGACACTTGGCTAAATGGTTGATTGCCTCAGTTTTTTTTTGGTCGAGTGCCTTAAA